CCCCAAAACCCCAAAACCCCAAAACCCCAACAATAACAGATGATTTATAATATTATTCCCAAATATATAGCCAATGCTAAACTTCAAAACACATCTACCCCTCCATCTCTCAATCTCGCCCATCCTTCTATCTTTCTTAACCCATCCCTCCCTACTCAAAGAACAAGTCCTGACTGGCTACCTCCAGATGCTCAGCCAGCACACAGAAGTATGACTTGACCAACCAGACTAGCAGATAAGAGGAATACCAATATGTCTGACAAACTCTCAGAAAAATTAGATAAACAAAAAATCATCCGGACCGAGCAAGAGGCTGAAAAGGAAGACAGAAAGAAGGAATTCTACAAGCAGTTCAAGGAAGAGCGCGATCAATTCATTTATAAGATCAACTCATTGGAGGAAGCACTCAGGGCAGCCAGCACTTCCAACTCGGAGGCCCTTTCCGAGCACATTGCACTACTAGACAAAGACAGAATTGAGTTCAAGGAGAACCTTGAAAATGAATTTAAAAAGAAAAAAGACGATCTTGAGGATGAACGCAAGAAATTTAAGGCCAAGCAGGCTAATCTGAATGCGGAAATTGACAAGCTCAAATCTACAATAGCGAATCTGAAGGATAATCTTATGAAGCAGAAGTTGGAGTACACCAGGGAAGAAGCCAAAATTAACCAGAAGTTGGTCTTTAAGGATGATAAGATCTCTGAGTTGCGAAAGACAATCAAAGAGAGCTCCCAGGAGTACCAAGAGAGGCTTGATACTCTCAGATCGGACCTTTACAGTGAATCCCAGAAAAAGATGACCTATCTGGAGGAAGAGAACCAGAGATTTAGTGAGAAGCTTGGAGACAAGGCTGCCATACTGATAAACCTCGAGTCAGAGATCATCCGTCTTAAAAGTGAACAAGAGGAAGAGAAGCTAATTTCAGGACAGAAGGTCTCGTCCCTTGAGAGCAAGCTTAGCATGCTCAAAGAGGAGTACGATAAAAAAATCGAATTTATTAACTTTGAGAGCCAGAGCACCATTAAGCAAATAGATAACGAGGTACAACAACTCGTCAAAGAAAATGATAACCTAAAGACCAAGCTCATCGACTTTGAGAAAGACTACACTGAGCTTCACAGTAATTATGAGAGGGATAAAGCCCTCTGGGATGACAGGTTAGAGTTCCTCGAAGGCCAGAAGAACCAGGCTAAGCGGGACCTCCAAGATGCCCACCAAAAGTATGAGATGACAGTAGAGCGACTGGAGCGGAAGGACTCTTCAAAGAGAGGTAAGTGACTTTTCAGCCTGACTGAATGCCTTCTGTAACTCCTGTTTAGGGAAGACAAAGGAAAGCAAACTTAATCTTGATCAACAAAATTGATAAGAAGTACAAGGATCAGATCAAGGATATCAACAGGTCACATGCATCCGTGATTTCTGACTGGAACTCTCGCTAAAAAAGCTTGGAGAAGGAATACAAGGAACTGAGCCAGAAGTATAAGATAGAATCCTGAGGAAAAATCTCGGAGGATTCTTCATGGGAGTCTAAGATCAGAGACTTGCTTGAGTCCGAGCAGCACTATCAGGAGGAGAATAAATAACCTCAAATCTCAGCTTGAAAAGCAATCCTTGGAGATCCAGTTGCTGCTTGAGAAGGAGAAGATCAACTATAAGCAAAATTTAGAGATCCTTGAGAAGAAGTACAAGGACTCCGAGTCTAAGAGAAGCCTCCAGGTATTTGAAGTTGAGAAGGAGAGAACCAGGTGGGCCCTCGAGAAGAACAAAATTAACCATGAGTACGACTTACTCAAGGACAAGAATAGGAAGGTATGTCTGGCAATCATCTTTTAGTTGGTCAGTGAGAAGGAAACCCTAAAAAATGAGTTGATGAAGGTCAAAACTGATATTAGAGAAAGCAGCAAGGGCATACTTAGTGGGGCGTTAGCTCCTCGACAGCTACTAAGGAGTTGGCTAATAAGAAAGTCAAGACTATGAGCAATGTAGGCTCTTCTTCGGGCAAGAGTTATAAGCCTTATCATAAGAGCTATTCGAAGCTCTGGTTATCTACCAAGAATTATATTGGCGATAAGTAGAAATAAAAATGTTTCAATATTTGTAATCATAGTTGGGGTTTTGGGGTTTTGGGGTTTTGGGGTTTTGGGG